ATCTAAGTAGAAGATGTCAAGCTCTTATTCTTCATTTTCTTTCAATTTGTTGAGGTTTTCTTCCTCTCAGGATGGAAAAGAGACTCTTTATTGGACCATACAATCATCATATATTTGCTCGTCAATTTGGTAATGACTAAGGAGTTCCTGATTCTAGCTTGTCATGCACACGTATTGAATCAAACTTTGGCAAGAAGTATTGCTACTGGAGATTCTTCTTTCAATTGGGGACTGGCAAGCGTCTCATTATTCCTTCTGATAGTCAAATAGCGAAGACTCTTCATGGTTACGTTATTTGGTATCAAAAGGGATACCATTCTTTATCGAAGAAGTAAAGAGGTTATATATTCTTTGTGCTGAATAAAATGATGTATAATTTAAATTTTTAATTAATTTTTGATATAAGTCAAACACCATAACTAAATTTTTTTATGGCCATCATCATCGGAGGAGTCAGCAAGGCTTACTCCAAATAACAAACAAAAAAATATCTTGTCAGTGAGCCTAAGAAAAAAACAATGAGTTTCTTTTGATTTAGTGTCGAAATACAATCGAGCAACTTCTATTTCACAAGTGAGAATGAAGGCACTAATGCTAATAAGGTGGTCGTAGATTAAGAAGGTGGTAAAGATCACATTCTACCTGGTCTAATTCTACCTCAAGAGCCACAATTACTAGACAAGGTAATGTTAAGAGGAAATAGCTTGTCTATTAATCAATTACATACATACATAGCCATCTTATGATATTTTTAATCATTGTAATATATGATATATCTTCTTTATATGAGGTCTAATATATATTCATCCTTAATATGTATCGGTTCAATATTTTCGATGACTAGCACCATGATAGTTCATATATACAACTAGGTTTTTTTTATAAGCACACTTACAAGAATGTTTATATGTATATATAGTTTTTTCACTCACATGATAACATGTGCCCTCTACCAAAGAGTCTTGATATTATCAAAGATAACTGAAAACCTAATTCTTTTAGCAACTCTTATGATGAAGATGAGAATTAATCTAAAACTGATGATAGACCTTCAAGTCATGAGGATCTATCATAACAAGCACTCAAAGTCAAGAGAACCAAGTAATAGTTGTCCCCTAGTGAACAATGTGGCAAGTGGAAGTACTGATTCAGTTGAGCAAACTACTCAAGTCTTTTTGGAGGAACCCAAAGATCAAATTTTATTGGTTATATATCCATCCCCTAGAGTTGAGCATCTCCTAATGCATAGAATCTATCATATTAAGAACATTTACTAGATTTCAGAATTACAGCATCAAGGCTGCTCAATTCAAGTACCTTTAATGATGGTTAATGAAAAACAATCTGACGAGGCTGCCTTGACACCTATAATTGTCGATGCTGGTGATGATACAAGTGATGAACGACCGATTGACCCTTCTATGAGCTCAGTTGCAAATATGCTACTACATATTTGCGTGATAGAATTTTGTAAACAGAAACCCTTGGGTCCTTTTGAGCAAGACATTGAGAAATTTAACAAACTAATAGAAAATAAAATTGCTTTATGTGCAGCACTTCATAACTTCGGGAGCAACTTGAGGAAAGAATTTGGGGAAATCATTATAGTTGACACAAAGTATCATGCACTTAAACAATAGTTGATTTCTAAGCTTAAAAATAGTGATATGGTATCTTCTCTAGAAGTTTCAAAATCGTTGGTAAGTCCTGTCTCTTATGTAGAAAAAATCTTGCCTACTTACAAAGTGGATCTTAGTCATAATCAGTCATGCTAGGACGATTTGAATCAAAAGATTTTAAAGTGGAGAAGAAAAGTTCAGAAGTTAGAGAAGAAGATTGAGTTGGCTGAAACTAAAGTAAAAACAATCAAACGCAGGGGAAGCATATTTGAAGAAGGCCTTATAGGTAAAAAATGAAAGTTTTATGCAATTGATTCGTAGGGGCACAACAAAGACCTTCTAACATACAACATCTCAAACCTAAGTACAAAGCATGTTTGACCACCTTTAGAACTCTACTAACCTATATGCATTTTTTTAATTTATCAGATAGACCTTATTTATTTATATATGAGATTAGAAATTTTATTCCATAGCGAATAGATATTTTAGTACAAATGAACGCTTCAAGATTTCGTACTTGCATTGGTTACAATCACCTCTCAATAAAGATGAAATCATCACTGAATACATAAGAGAAACTTTTTTTATCCCACTAAACATCGATGAATAAGCTTGTGGAGCATCAAACTTACTCATAGCTTACTAACTTAGAGTCTAGAGGTTATTGAAGGTTTTTTATGAGATGATGCAAGAGAACTGATACCAATTTGTATTTTATGTCTGCCCTAGGCTGCACATATGTCCGCACTTATTTCTACAGTAACTTTGTCTAGAAAACCACTTCTGGTTTGAAATGATTGATTGGATTTCAACCCTAGTTTTGTTTAAAAGTAAACTTATTTGAACTGAACTTCTCTATAAAAAGTTATCATTAAAATACCAAAGGATGAACATAAAATATATTTTTCCAAGTGTAGAAAGAGAAAAAAAATATTTTTCTTACCTTGTCTAGACCATGTCTACCTAATAAGCTTACTCATAGTTTATCCTCTTAGAGTTTAAAGTTGCTTTTACTTTATATTCATAAAAGCTTAGAGTTTCTCTCAGTTTATATTCTTAAAAGTTGGAGTATCTTAAAGTTTATACTCATAAAAGTTTCGAGGATCTTACAGTTTATACTCATGAAAGTTTAGAGTGTTATGCCTCTTATAGGCATATATCATTTTAGAAATTTTACATTTATTAGGGGACGTGAGTACTCACCATTGGGTGAAAATATTTTATAAGCCCCATTAGACTAAAACCTCTTGCACTAATATAGGGTCTTCCCATTTTGGTTCAAACTTACTTTTTGTTCACCTTATAATGATCAAGCCAGGAACTATCAACAGCTGGGATGACATGGAGAGCATGTTTCTCACCAATTTCTTCAATGATAACACTAAGGTGTCAATCGGAATGTTGTTTGTTAAGAAGGAAAAGGACCAAGAATCGGTTGAGAATTTCGTTAAGGGTCTCCGGAATAAGGCAATGAACTGTCGAGATCCGATCACGAAGGAATTCATCCTCCAAACGTGTCACAACAATCTTTCTTTGGACCTGCTGGAAGCTATGGGTGTAGCACCATTCAAGACTTGGAAAGAGTTGAAGGTGCGAGGGGAGCAAGCCGAACGATTCATTAAAAGGAAGAAGGCCGAAAGAGGTCATCTAACGGCTAATGCCCCAAAGCAGAACTTCATTCCTCATGGTAAAGGGAAGGCGTAAGCAAATGCGGTGGATGTCAACCAGACCTTCCAGCTACAATCGCAATAGCAACAACAGCCACAACAACATGCACCAAAGCAGCAATCACCTCAGTGACAGCAACGACCTCAAAGGCAATAGAAGGCTTCTGAGCCAAAATTCCCGAAGGAATACTCCTTCAAGGAAGATGAGGTCCCCGGTATCTTCAAGTATCTATTAGAGAATAGAAAGATACGGCTACCCCCAATCACCGATCACGGAGGAGCTAAGAAGACTACGAATCCACGGTATTACACATTCCACAGAGCAGTTCATCATTCTACCAAGACGTGCTACGCTCTCAAAGACGAAATTCAAGCCTTAATTGACGTCAGGATTATCTCTGCAATGAAACCCAAAGAAAATAAAGTAGGTGCAAACACAGTAAGCATTAGTTTCGGCTCTATTCCCCTCATGTGGTTTCAACCAGATTCTGTGACAAAGGTAGGGATGAGGATGGTTAATGAAGATCCTCACGGACAATGCCAGAAAGGATTAGTACCACACACGACTCCCAACGACGAAATTCTTTGGGTTCATCCTGATCTACTTCAAGATGAGCAATGGACAGGATCCTCCTCCAAGAAGAAATCCAAGTCCAAAGGCAATGGGAAATCTTGTCGTGCCACTATAGCTATTCCGAAGGAAAATAACGAAGGAATCCCTGCCTTTCCACCTTCCGATGATGAGCATGAAGCTTTTGCTACTAGCGAAGAACCGGCTTTTACCACTAGAAGTGGAAACGAATATCGGTTCGACTATTCTAAAATGGCCGATCAGCTAGCTAAACAGGGAGTGGTTACGACCACCCCCAATCTTTCTGAAGTAACTTCTCAACAGCAGTCAACCCCTATAAAAAAGAAAACTATAGCCAAGCAAAGAGATAAAGAGCCCCGCATCAAGAGGTTTAGAATCCGAAGCAGTCTCGATTCAATCGTCTGATTAGAGGAGATAAACCAGGGAATTCGAACACTCCATACGAGTTATTACATCTTTTCAAAAGCACCAGAGAGGCATTCGCCATCACTCCTGAATAGCTAACCCAAATAGTTTAATAAGCTTTTTAACCAAGTAGAAAGAAGAATTTGAAGCTAAGATGGAGTTGGCTATGTAGCAAATAAGAGAGTTACAGGCTCAAAGGCTTCAACTACCAGAGTGCAGTCATCACGTTGAGTCTAGTCGTCAAACTATACCTATCACGCCCGTCCGAAATGGAGCAGATGATAGCAATCCAAGCATGGATGAAGTCATCAAGATTGAAACATCCTTCAATAACACTGGGGGTGGTTCAATTACACCCCCCCCGTGATACCAAGGGTTTCCCGATTACTTCTTCTCAACATTGCTCAATGAGAGATGAAGGTAAGGACAAGAAGCAGAAGGATGGATGGTCAGTCATCACCTCCGCTAAACACTTTCTAAAAAGAAAGAGGGCTGAGAGTAACCAACTAACAGCACCTGTGGCTACTATTGATCAAACATTACAACAGCAATCGCCACAAACCCAGCGGTACCCTTTCAAAGATCATGAAGCTCCAGCCATACTCAAGTACCTCCTGAACCATAACAAAATCAAGCTGTCACCTATTAAAAATCAGAAGGAAGCCAACAGAAGTTCATACCTAAAATACTATGCGTACCACAGGAGGATTGATAACATGAATATTATCTATATTTTGACTATGTTTCACCTACGGATTCATTGTTATTTGATGTATTTCCTTACATTTTGGCCATGTTAAGCTCCCTAGTTCTTGTTTACTGCTCTATTTATATATTGTGTAGGAATTACTGGAGCTTAGCACGGATTCGGAGTCAAGAAGGAGTCAAGGAATGCATGAAAAGTGGCTACACGTTCACCCAGTGTTAAACAACACAGGCGTGTTGGTTATAGAAGATAAGCCCAGAAAGCAGAGTGAAACAGAATTAAACACGGCCTGGTCATGTCGATCTGCACAGCCGTGTTGGATGACAGCAGTCAGTTATCTTGCGATCTGGAGCATTATTTGAACTTATCTTTCAACACGTCTTTGCAAGAGGATAAAAAGGAGACGTCCTGAAGCATCAGGGAGGACCTGGAAGCTAGAGATCTGGATTTTTCTTTCTTCTTCTTCTCTTCTTCTCTCTATAAAAACTCTTAGATTAGGTTTTTCTTTTGCATTGGGAATCTGCTGTTTGTGGAGAATTGTGTGCAACTTCGACACTACGGTTTATCTTTCTGATCTATCTCAATTTTTAGTTTATGATTATGATCTTATATATTGTTATCATGTTTTCTATTTCAATTATGTGTGAGTAATTGTCTTATCTGGGATTGAACAAGGTTCGGCTGTGGTTATGAATTAATGAACTGATTGTTGTTGTTTTTGATCGTTCGATTTGTATTATTCAACTGCTAGTATCTAATTGCCTAGGGTTAATTCAATTGGCCACTGATTTAATTCTTTTAGGATGTTGATTTGAACTGAAAGGTTAGATTGACGCCGGAAAATAGTAATTGAACAAGAATTAATTGATCACGAAAGTAGGTTAATTATTCTTGAGAACATGAGAGATTAACAAGAACTTTAATTTGGTTTAACACTATGAAAATAGGTTGTTAGGCTGAATTAAGCACGACTTTTAGTCGTCGAAAGAGACTAATAGTTATCATAGGTTAGTCGTTCTTAATGCATTGAGAGATTCGATAGCAATTGATTAGTTTATTGATTCGAACCAGAGTTGAAACCGAAGTTCAATCCTAGATCCTTTTAATTGAGTGAATTCATCGTTGATACTAGCTAGCGTGTTCGTTATTGATAATCAAAAATCATACTTTTTAACACGATTGGTTTAGATAGTTACAAAACAGTGAAAATTAGTAATTAACAACGAAGTCCCTGAGGATACGACCTTGCATCACTATAACGATATCCGTGCACTTGCGGATTTGAGTGAACAAGTTTTTGGCGCCGTTGCCGGGGACTTCAGTATTGTTAATATTGACTTTTTCATTGTTTGACTAGACTAGACATTTTCTTTCATTTATTTTGTTTTTATTTTTCCTCTCTTTTCGTTTGACTTATTCTTTTTTTTAGTGCAGGCACCCTTGTATGCCCAGATCCTTACGACTTGGAGAACCAATCGAGTGTGATCCCGAGATTGAAAGGACCTTGCGTCATATTAGGAAGAAGGCACGAGAAACAAAGGATAATTTGAAAAGCAAAAACACCATGGGAGACCAAGAAAACCAAGGCAATCAAGACCGATCCTTGAAGGAGTTTGCATCACCAACCACCCATAGCTCCCAATCTAGCATCTTGAAGCCTAATGTTGCTGCCAACAATTTCGAACTCAAGCCCTCACTCCTCTCCATAGTTCAGCAAAACCAATTTGGAGGCACTCCAACCGAAGACCCAAACCTCCACATCTCAATCTTTCTGGAGTATTGTGACACATTGAAGATGAATGGAGTGTCGGATGATGCAATCAAGCTAAGGTTGTTTCCCTTCTCACTAAGAGACAAGGCAAGGGCTTGGCTGCAATCACTTCCACCGGGCTCCATCACTACATGGGACCAACTCTCAGAAGCGTTCCTTGCTAAGTACTTCCCTCCGAGCAAAACAGCCCAATTGAGAAATCAGATAACAACCTTCACTCAAAAAGAAGGGGAGTCATTGTATGATGCATGGGAGAGGTACAAGGATCTTCTAAGGATGTGTCCACATCACGGGTTGGAGGATTGGCTCATAATTCACACTTTCTACAACGGTCTTCTCTACAACACAAGGATGACCGTGGATGCTGCAGCGGGTGGTGCATTGATGAACAAAAGTGTACGAGATGCAAAACAACTCATAGAGGATATGGCACAGAATCATTTCCAGTGGTCAGGTGAGCGCTCTTTACCCAAAAAGAGCGGGAGGTATGATGTAGATGCATTAGACCACATTGCTTCTAGAGTAGATGCTTTATTTCAAAAATTTGACAAGATGAGCATGAATTCAGTAGCATCTAACTCTACTAACTGTGAAATATGTGGTATCATTGGACATTCTGCTGTGGAATGTCAGATTGGAAACTCCCCTTCCCCTGATGCACCATTATCTGAACATGTTAATTATATGAATAATTTTAATCAGAAAGGGGACCCTTTTCTAATACATACAACCCGGGGTGGAGAAATCATCCTAATTTATCCTATAAAAATCCACCCCTGAACCCGATTCCTCACTCAAATTTTCGACCTCAAGGTTTTCAGGCCCCGAGACTCCCTTACCCCAATCCCCAAAAGTCTAACTTAGAGAGCTTGATGGAGAATTTTGTGTCATCCCAGAATAAACAGAATGAAGAATTTAGAAATCAGAATAGAATCATGAGCGATGCCATCAAGAACCTAACTTCCAAGGTTGACTCTTTAGCCACCCACAATAAAATGTTAGAGAATCAGATCACTCAAGTGGCCCAACAATCTAGCTCTTCTTCCAGACCTTTCGGGATGTTTCCTGGGCAACCTAAAACTAACCCAAAGGGATCTATCAATGCCATCACACTTAGGAGTGGAAAGGAGTTAGAGGGACCAATGATAAGGAATGACCATAAGGATGTGGTTGATGAGAGTAAGAGGTTAGTGTCAAGTGAGAAAGAGCACAGTAGTGAGAAAGTTGAGAGATATGTAGCACCTGCACCTTATAAGCCTCCACTACCCTTCCCTCAAAGGCAAGTTAAAGCTAAGTTAGAACAACAGTTTGGGAAATTCATAGAAATCCTTAAAAAATTGCATATTAACATCCCATTTGTTGAAGCCATTTCCCAAATGCCATCCTATGCCAAATTCTTAAAGGAGATTCTATCAAATAAGAGGCGATTAGAGGAATATGAGACTGTAGCCTTGACCCAAGAGTGTAGTGACATCATACAAAATAAGCTACTACGTAAGCTTAAAGATCTTGGCTCATTTTCAATCCCTTGCACAATTGGTGATATGTCAATTAATCATGCTCTATGTGATCTCGGTGCTAGTGTTAGTCTTATGCCATTGTCTATATGTAACAAGTTGCAGATGGGAGACTTGAAGCCCACTACTATCTCCCTCCAATTGGCGGATCGATCGGTTAAACGTCCGGTAGGTATATTAGAGGATGTACCCATCCAGGTTGGTAAATTCTTTATTCCAGTTGATTTTGTTATTCTTGAAATGGAGGAGGATTCTCAAATCCCCATTATATTGGGAAGGCCTTTCCTTGCTACTGCTGGAGCGATAATCGATGTGAAGAATGGAAAGCTCTCTCTCAATATAGGGGATGAAAAGGTGAATTTTGATTTGTTTTCTGCTATGAAGTTTCCACTAATTGATGATACTTGCTGCAGGATTGATACGATTGATATGGTGCTTAGAGAAGACTTTATTAAATGCATATCAAGTGATTCACTGGAGAAATGCTTAGTAGAGAATGAGGCACCAGTTGACGATGATCAGGAAGTATCCTCCTATGTTACAATGCTTGATGGAAGTCCAACCTGCACCAAAATCACCTACAGCAAAGGACCTGATGCAGTGACCGAAACTGAAAAAGATTTGAATGTCCAGGTTGTGTCCATGGACACGGCCGTGTCAGACAGCAGCAGAAACAGCCCAGAACAGGTTTGTGAAAGAAAAACTGCACCTAAGGTAGAACTAAAACCACTCCCCTCCTCGCTCAGGTATGAATTCTTGGACACCAATGGTGAATACCCTGTAATTGTTAATGCTGATTTAAGTCACCAGGAAGTTGAGAAATTGCTTAAGGTTCTAAGGTTGCATAGGGATGCGATAGGTTATTCCATAGACGATATTAAGAGCATTAATCCATCCATTTGCATGCATCGAATTTTGCTAGAAGAAGGGTACAAAACTTCCATTGAACATCAAAGAAGGCTAAACCCGAACTACCTAGATGGGTATTCAGGATTCTTTCAAATCCCAATTCATCCTAGCGATCAAGAGAAGACAACATTTACATGTCCATATGGCACTTTTGCTTATAGGAGAATGCCATTTGGCCTATGTAACGCCCCTGCCACTTTTCAAAGATGCATGATGGCCATATTTTCTGATTTTATTGAGGACATTATGGAGGTCTTCATGGATGATTTTTCAGTCTATGGCATTTCATTTGATGACTGTTTGCATAATCTTGCTAAGGTCTTAAAGAGATGTGAAGAAATGAACCTCGTGTTAAATTGGGAGAAATGCCATTTTATGGTACAAGAAGGAATTGTTTTAGGTCATTTAATTTCTAATCGGGGTATTGAAGTGGATAAAGCTAAAATTGATATCATTGCTAAGATGCCACCACCGACTAATGTAAAAGGGGTTAGGAGCTTTCTAGGCCATGCCGGGTTCTATAGGCGTTTCATTAAAGATTTTTCTAAGATTGCCAAACCCTTAACCCGCCTGCTTATAAAAGATGTTCCCTTTGCATTTGATCAATCTTGTTTTGATGCTTTTGACAGGTTAAAGGAAGCTTTGACAACTGCCCCAGTTATGAGATCACCTGATTGGAGAATTCCATTCGAGATTATGTGCGACGCGAGTGACTATGCTATCGGGGCCGTTCTTGGGCAAAGGAAAGAAGGGAAAATATACGCTATATACTATGCCAGTAGAACAATGGATGAAGCTCAGATGAACTATGCGACAACAGAAAAATAACTCCTAACCGTAGTGTTTGCCTTGGATAAATTCCGATCATACCTTGTTGGGTCGAAGGTCATAGTATTCACAGATCACGCTGCTTTGAAGTACCTCTTGGCTAAAAAAGGATGCAAAACCATGACTGCTAAGGTGGATTATCTTATTACAGGAGTTTGATCTCGAGATAAAAGACAAGAAAGGAACTGACAATGTGGTGGCTGATCATCTCTCTAGGCTCAGGCAAGAAATGGATCAAGGAGAAGGTGAAAAGGAGCCATTTGATGATTCATTCCCAGATGACAACCTGTTTGCTGTTACAAGTCTTCAAGCCCCTTGGTTCGCTGATTTTGTGAACTATATTTCGTGTGGGGTATTACCACCTGAATTATCCTATCAACAACGCAAGAAGTTCCTATCAGATGTCAAGCACTATTATTGGGATGAACCTTGTCTTTATAAGCGTTGTGCAGATGAAGTATTCAGAAGATGCCTGCCTGAAGAGGAGGTATTGGATGTCATATCCCACTGTCATTCTTCACCATACGGAGGTCATGCAAGCACCACCAAGACCGCATGTGAGACGTTTCACGATTAGTTGTGATCGTTGCCAACGGACAGGAAATATCTCACGGAGGAATGAGATGCCACTAAATAAAATTTTTGAAGTCGAACTCTTCGACGTGTGGGGGATTGACTTTATGGGACCTTTTCCACCATCACGCAACAACAAATATATATTAGTAGCAGTGGATTACGTGTCAAAATGGGCTGAAGCTTTATCATCCCCAACAAATGATGTGAAAGTGGTGGTCAAATTATTTCAAAAGGTCATTTTCCCCCGGTTTGGTGTCCCAAGAGCTGTAATCAGTGATGGAGGATCTCACTTTGCAAACAGGGTCCTAAGTACGCTTCTAAGGAAGTACGGAGTAACTCACAAAATGGCTACACCGTATCATCCTCAAACAAGTCGTCAGGTGGAGATCACTAATCGAGAAATCAAAGGAATCTTAGAGAAGACAGTGTCTCGTTCAAGAAAAGATTGGTCTATGAAGCTAGATGATGTTCTTTGGGCATATCGGACAGCTTATAAGACTCCTATAGGTATGGCGCCGTTCAGGTTGGTCTATGGGAAATCATGTCATTTACCAGTTGAAGTGGAACATAAGGCACATTGGGCTATCAAGAACATTCATTTAGATTTGAAAGAAGCAGGAGAACAGAGAAAGCTTCAACTAAATGAACTCGATGAATTGAGGTTGGATGCATACGAGAATGCCAAGATTTACAAAGAAAGAACAAAGAAGTGGCATGATCAACACATCCTTCGTAAAGAATTTACTGAAGGAGACCTGGTACTTTTGTTTAATTCTCGACTCAAGCTTTTTCCCGGAAAACTTCGTTCGAGGTGGTCTGGACCATTCCAAGTGCGTAAAGTATACCCATTTGGGGCTGTCGAAGTATGGAGTGAAGCCACGGGAACCTTCAAGGTCAATGGACAGCGATTAAAGCATTATTTCACAGGAACTCCGATCGAGAAGTTGGGTACTTATTGTGATCATTGAAGGGGTCGAGCTCATGACCATAAACAAGCGCTTCTTGGGAGGCAACCCAAGTTTCTCTTTCATTTTATTTTTCTTTTTAGTGTTTTAATTATTAGTTTTCATGACATGTAATCAGGTTTCCGTGAACTGGTGTGTACGTGAATGACAGAAGAAAAATAGGTAACAGAGAGTTCAAAGCGAAAGAGGACAGAAGGAAATATATTGATAACACAGTTGACACGGCTAGCCCGTGTCCACCAACACACCCGTGTAGCAGTCGGGACAGTCTTCACCTCATTTCCAGAGTCTACCACACCCTGAGAAGACGTCCACCACACCCGTGGCCGAAAAAAAAAAAATGAAATCCAGACTTCTTTGACGCCACCCTCCTTCCATCTTCTTTGACCCCACCTCCCAAACCCATCTAACCCAACATCACCCAGGACAGTTTTCTTTTTCGCCCAAAGTGACCGATCATTGATTTCTTTGACCAAACCCAACAAAAACCTGACATTCCAATTAACTTCATCACCTCCAAACCACCCAATCAATCCCAATTACACCACCCACCTCCCAAAAAGCCAATCAATCCCAGCACATCAACTCCTGACAACCCATCAACTTTCACAAAACCCAATTCACAGACTCCCCTATGCTTCCCATACTTCAACGAAAGCTTCCAATAATTCAAAACCCATTAACAATTCCTAACACCCAAAGCCGGCCATTCACAGACTTCCCCATTGATCTCCCATACTTCCCCCACTCATCCTCCCTCTGACTTTCTCCCATTCTAGTCATCCTTTCCACCTCTTCTCTAACCCAAGGCCAGAAATGTTTCTAACACAAAGCCAACACGTCTGAAGTTCCGACGAGAGAAGCGCCGTCCAACAACTCCAACGATCTCCCATTCAGCCCCATGGCTCCAAAACGCAGAAAAAGCAATGACGCAACAACCTCCAACTCACGAACAGCATTGCAACACCGGTCTACAAGGGGTAAC